GGGTCACAAGTGGGAATGAAAAGAAAGAAAAACTGGCCTGATTTTGCAAATTCGGCAGCGAGTAGTGGTTCCGGGAACCCACCAGTCAGCCTGTGTTGGTGGTGGTGGTGCTTTGACATCGAGAGATTTTCAACTGCGAAGGGTTCGAGTCAGCAATATAAGACCCGACTGGGGTGTCCTTATTTGAATGAAAAATGGGGCGCTTTGATTGTTCAACTATTTTATTTTTATTTTGTCAAAGGGAAAATGAGACTTGGCATAGGGACATTTCGACTGAGGGACACTCTTGATGCCCCAATTACATCCGCATCTCAGGGTCTCACTGTAATAGAAAATTATCTGACGTTCGATCAGGAACGATTATCTGATTTATAAGAATACGACGCATCAACAACGAAAACACTTCAAAAAAATCTATTTAAAAAAATAGGATGATGACACGTCGGAAAATAGTGAGAATAATAACAAACTCAGGGAAAAAAAAACAACAGACACAGGATGAAATTCGACGGTTACCCGTCATTGCTGCTGGTTTCCCGGGCCGGCGGCGAGTTGACGACCAGGTCGAGCGGCGCCTGATGCAGGGACTCGTCCATGCGGTTCCCGTTACTATTCCTGCTGCCGCCCACGTCATCGTCCTCGTCATCGACATCATCGTCGTCTTCATCGTCATCCGCGTCGATATCCACGTCCCCTTCCGCGTCCGCACCCGTCGACATCGAACCCCCACCGCTGTCGTGCAGCACGGTGTCGGCAAGGATGCCTTCCTGCGTCGGCTGCTGCAAAATTATCCCGTGTCCGTGTCCATTCGACCTGTTGGCCGCCACTGCAGCAGCAGCAAGAACACCGGAATTCGACGCCGCGGCGGCGACCACCGCCAGAGTGGCGGTGGGGCATTCGACGGCGGTGCTGGTCACCGCAATCGTTGGCGGCGGTTCGCCGACGTGGAGGTAGACCGGCGTGTGGCGCTCTTCTTTAATTGCTGGCGACGGTGTCGCTGTCGCTGTCGACGTGACAACTGCTGCTGCTGCTGTCGCCACTGGCGGTAGAGACCAGAATCCGCCAAAAACTCCTGTTTGCACGCGTCCGCCTTCAAGGAGTGCAGGCAATGGCATCGTCAGCAATGAGTGTGTCGATTGAGACGAGTGCAGCAAGCAGATGGCAAGATGCAGAAGAAACAAGAAGAAAAAAAGAAAAGAGAAGGGAAAATGGAAGAGAGAGGAGAGAGCAAGAAGAAGAAGAAGAAGAGAGGAGAAGAAGGATAAGGAAGGAAAAAAAGCCATGCGCATTCGCGTTTAGAAGAAGGATCGAAATTCCACACTGCAACTCAAATTTCAAAAATTCCCCTAAGGGCGCCCAATACGTTAGTAAAAAGTCCACTATACTGTTCAACCCTAGACTAAAATATACCCAGCAAATAATTAGGCATATCAAAACGCGTGGCAAATGCGTTTCATGTCAAATTTGCCAAGCATTTCATGCCCTTTTGCGTTACGCCTACTTGGGACTTTTGTTAGTGCGTATCATTCAGGCATTTCAAAAATGCCTTCTTGTTACAATTATATATTTATTCAAGCGTAACTGAAGTTACGCCTGACAAATGCATAACAAAAACAAGTAGCTGTTACACCCAGCCCTTCATGTAACCAATTATTTGCTGGAACGTTCCTGGCTACTAATTTCAAAGTTCAGTGAGCTACTGAGCACTCAACAATCCCTTTTCAAAAAATAAATAAAATCAACCCGTTTGAACCTCGTGGAGAAAACTAATCAACAGTGGATTTACAGTAATTCGAAAATGCCCCTCTCACTTATATTTTTAGTTATTACAAAACAGGTACCAATGTATGCTTTAGTACGGTGTTTCCACGAGCATGACGCCCGTTTGGAAAACATTTTTCACAAAATGTCACACAACGTCGTAAATACTGATGACGTCATACATTTAAATGACAAATGCCGTACGTGATTTCTTGTAAACAGGACCGTATTCGAAAAAGAAATCCGGCCAGGAATTCAAATGCGTAAATGTTTAAGTCCGTTTCCATTCAAAATCAAAATTTTCAATACTATATTATTTTTAATGCTCTGATTCGATCGAAAATATATTTGATAAAAGACGGGTAACAGATACTGTACCAGAAAATTATGTTCAAAGTTTTCATTTTCTGAAGAAATTGAATGCATAGAAAGTACGATTTACTCCAGCAAGCAAAATAGTCGCATAATATTTAGGGGACTACTGTATTTACGGCGCCTTTAATACGTTATTTCGGAGAAATATTATTCGCATAATTCTAAGAAAGATGATTAAATATCGATTTCAGCAAGAAGTCAAGCATGCTGATTCGTATTCTTAAGCTTCCTTTTATTTCGTGGAAAGAAGAAAACAATTGATGATGGTTCAGAGATTCCAGAATATTCTAGCCTCGACAGTCTAATCCTGTTAGCTCGTGTTTTCCTCGAATTACACTGGTGGTACCTCTTTCAAAAACTAAAACCATTTGTCTCACTGGACAGCTTGGCACAACTCCCAGCATTCTACTTGAAAGATACCGATTTCCAGAAAACTCTATGGTTTTGTGAGAGACAACTTCAGCATAGAACTTTGTTCTTCTCCCATTGCATCTCGTCTAAATATTCTTACTGTATACAGCGTAGAATTCTCTGACACAAGTTATCGATGTGCATTTTTAAAAGTCTGCTCTCGAGAAGAATCGAAATCGTTTCTGTAAATCAATAATGTATTTATTTTCAATTCTAAAGGTCCAACTGCCAGTTTGGAAAATCATAAACCAGCTAAATTTTTAAGAGACGGCAATCCAACTATTGCGAGTGAAATTTCATTTGACCAGAGAATGGAATATGGTTGATGAAAACAAAAATCATTTTCACTTTTCAGAACGTTGTCAATGGAAAATTATTTCTGCTGTAGATTTATCTTAGTTTTCTCCATTTGGCTCAAACATTATTCCTGCGTTGATTTACGTCATATTTATTCTTGAATTTAGAACATAGTTGTTGGCTTAACATATTTTTATTTCTAACGATGAACAAAAGGAATCAGCTGAACTTATTTATTGGATTGTGAATCCCCCGCTACGGTAAGTCACTCCACACAGCACTCCCAAAGCCAGGAAACTTTGAAGTAATGATTCGAAATAACAAAAATGACAGGATGTTATCACATACAGTATCTGTCAACCTCGAACAAACTATATTCTAAGAAAAAAAAATTCTTCCTGGGGTCACAAGTGGGAATGAAAAGAAAGAAAAACTGGCCTGATTTTGCAAATTCGGCAGCGAGTAGTGGTTCCGGGAACCCACCAGTCAGCCTGTGTTGGTGGTGGTGGTGCTGATGCTGGTGATGATGATGGTGACCATGGTTCGCATGGTGCTCAAGTGCACCGCCCACATTGACCTGAGCGGGTTCTGGCGTTCGCAGCGCTGCCGGAGACGCCCACGTCATCGGCACGACGGCGCCGTGGAGAGGCGCCGACAGTGGCAACGGTGGTGAGGTTAGAGATGGCGCCACGCGTCCGGGTTGAGACGTCATGTGACGCACGGACAGCGGACTGCGAAGCTGGCGCAGGTGGTCTACACTCGCTCCGCTAGATGTCATTCGCGGTGTTGCCGCAGCGACCACTGCCGACTTGAATGCCGAATTATCGCTTCTAACTGCGCTAAGATTCACGGGGTCATCTGGAACCGTTCCTGGATTCCCATTGCTGAATACTGGAGAAAAAATGCGAAACCCATTTAAAAACTAAGTATAGAATTTTATATAAATGAGAAATTTACAACCTTTTGAGGAAGACAACAAGTCTCGATCATAAACCCCCTTCTTGAATAATCTGCTTCGAACTAACCTGTTGGTGGAGTATTCTCAGACGTGAAAGCGTCGCAGTATTTTTGCAAATGCTCCATGAGTCGTATGCACAAGGAATCTCCTGCAAAGTAACCCTCGCTCTCGACCAAGAAGTGCATGGTCTCCGACATGCACTCGCGATATCCTTGTCTGTATTGACACAACAGCGCTTTTTGATTTTCCGCTGTCATGTCATAGATGTCGCGCTCGTCTTTGATTTCCATTTTCACCGCTGTAGGCGTTTAACGACACCCCCTACACCCACCCAATTGACTGCTGGCGAGTGACCAGCTATGTCGGAAGCTAGGAAAAACTAGTCTCCGGTTACCCGTTAGGTGACAACTTTTAACTTTCTGCAACTTAGAAGAGGAACGAAATTTCGCACAGTACTACGTAAACGGGAATGGAAGACTCATTATGCAAATAAATGCTGAATTGCTGAGCGAAAAATCAAATTGACTAAAAAATTCGATAATATCCTACGACCTAATCCACACAGGCGAATTTTGATGCACAGTAATTCGCCAGCAATTGCATTGCACATTCAATAGGGTTCAAAAGCTGCTGCGAATTTGACTAGATACGAGATGGAAATCCGGATTCCGAATTAAATGGAATATTCAATGAACCGTGCTCGGAAAAAAATACATTCATTTTTGCGTCCTTTATTTTCACCGCGTTTTTCGATATGCTTAAAAAAATGTACATACACATACTGTAATTCTCTGGCATCTTTTCTAAAACATGACAAGGTAGAAAACTGAACATTCTGAAAAATTTTAATCCGCTTAGAAAGTCATAAAACTTTCCTACGCTTATCATATGCATTTCCGTTTTTGTGAACCATTGATTCCTTGAAAAAAAAAAAATATGACCACTTGAAACCAATTACGTGATTATTCACACTCCGATACCGAGAAGAATATTGGAGCTTAGAAAATAATCGAATGAACTATGGATACTAACCACCAGATGGACACGGGTGCTGGTGCAAATGCCTCATGTGCCATTACCGGTAAAGTTACTAGAGCCAGAAAAGCTAGGCGGGAGACGGAAAAAACTACATCCGGCGGCCTTACTCAGACCTGTTTAGACGGTTCGTCGATAAGTAGGCTAGGGCCGCGGCAAAAAGCTATATCCTGTGCGACATTGGATCCTCCAGGAAAATAAAAATAATAAAATTAAACAATTATAAAATTTTAATACAAACTTTCGAACTGTTAGATAATAACGTCATGCAGGATTTTTAGTCGCGAGACGGAAAATGTCATGTGTCAAGCTCTTTTCGAGACGAAATAAAAGTGTAGACGGTGCACGCTCTTAGAACATCTATATCTGGGCTTTAAAAATAAATCAAAAGAAAAATTGCTTCGAAAATTCATGCAAATCAAATGCAATGTATGCATTTCTGATGAAAGTGAGAAAACCGCAGAACGACTGCAATGCAAGACACAAAGAAGATACACCATTCATGTGATGATAATTCATCTTATTGTGATGGATATTTTTTGCTCTCCTCGATATTTTTGGATATTCCTCCTCAAGTTTTTTTTTATTATCCTTTCAATGATTCCGATAGTTTATTCTGAATCATTTTTACGAAACTCACCCTTAACAGCACAAAATGCATCATGCTCTTTTTTTAAAACATATTTTCACAAGTGCAGTAAAGTCACTAATATTTTCAGAAAAAAAAATCCTGCCTGTAAGTTTACTGGCTTCCATAGTAATCTAAAAATTTTCTAAAGAGATGCTCAGAACGTACATGTCATAGTACTTATTTAGGCTATGTCATAATATATTATACCAAAGTGAAAGCATCGTCAATTAATTCATTGTATTCTTGTTCATTTCCGTCATTCAAAAATGTAAAAATGACAGAGAAGCTTTCTGGAAAACAGTTTCGATCTTCAGTTTGAGTTCGAAAAAAAATTAAAATGATGCAAAGATGAGATGCTTACTCTGGATTTTTTTCTCAGCGCTGCCAACTCGTCGTCTTCCGTTGCGTGAATGCTACCCGATGACTGGCTTCTGCAAAAAAAGAAGAAAAAACCGATATTCACAACTGTTATTTGACAAACAGGGAAGCAATTTTTGGAATAAAAAAATAATTTAAAAAGGCTGTAACGAAAGATAAAAATGAAGCACTAATTGTTCGCAACCTATTCATGCGTGAAATTTTGTTTTTGCGTGAAATTCGCTCAGTAAGAATCCGGAGCTGTGAAACTTCTCCTGAAAATCAATTGAGAACCGCTTTAAGAAAAAATGATCATTCAAAATTTTACATTGTAATCATGCTGCCAAATTAATTTTATGCTTTATAATGTTGCTCTTCAAGAGGAAATTCCAAACTATAAATCGTTGGTTTATAGTTTTATACACCTGACGTCTCCCTGTAAATCATGTACTGCAAATCAAAATTCTAACTATCGAAATAACGAGCTGAGAATTTTGGTAAATATTTGTATAATTAAGTTTTAGATAGCAATTGCGTTGCTCAGTAGTCGTATCTAAGTATAATCAAGCAATTCACCCCATCGAATGTCGAAAAAGACTTATATCGGGATTGTTTTGAGCACAGCAGGTTGCAAAAAATTTTCTGTAATATTCGAATACAGTAATATAGAGTACAGATGAGTTCAAAAACGTATGTTGCCATAAATGAATATTTTATTAACCGACAATCCAACAACCCGTAATATTTTCCCCGTGAAAAAAAAGAACGTTCGACTTAATTTTTCCTTCCGTTTCACCCAGTGTTTCCCTGGTACTGTACAAAAAGCTTATTTTTTCTAGAACTTCAAAACATGTGTAAAAAGGACTCCGTAATTTTCTGGAGGACATATTGTACTTTGTATAGAATGCTGAAACTTACTGTTACGTAACCATCTTCCAGTTGTTATCCTGTAATTTAATTACGGTATACGAACAACCCTTACATTCTCATTTGCTTCATACTTTCACAGTACTGCTTAATCTTTGAAATTTTCTTGTGGGTAGAGGATAATTTATACTTTTTCAACGTTTTCCTGCTCCAGAAGCAGCAAAAAAGCTTCAACTGAAAATGTCTCAAAAAGTTTGTTTTTTTTTCTTTTCAACGGAAAAACGTGCTGCGGGAAGTTTATTCCGCGAACTCATCCAGCGAAGTTCGGATCATTCAGCAACTCAGCACGTTTCCGTCTTATCTCGAGCAAAAAGGCCTCGCTGAGAAAATCTCTTCCCACGGCGAATCTCATCTACGAGCCGTGAAAAGAATAAAACGAAGGAAAGAAACGGGTAGAGAGAGAGAAAACCCAACTTCAAGCAGCAAGTGCGTCAGACGACGAAGAAAAGGGGCGAGAGAAGAAGACGCGAGAAACGGAGAAAAGAAAAGCAGGGCGGAGTTGAAGACGAGAGCAGACCTATACGAAAAACAGGAGACCAAAGAGGAAGGAAGGCATGAAGGAAGGAAAGACAAGTTCACGGAAAGCCGAGAGAGAGAAAGAGAGAGAGAGAGGCAAACAACAACACACGTGGCCGGAAAACGTGACGGTCGCAGTCGACGTCCATCCGTCGGCACGCCGTCGGCCACGTGATCCGGATGGGTACAAAAACGGGGAGAAGGACGCGTGCGTAATCGCTGAACTCCCTGACTTTGAGACGCAATTTTTTTATCATAATTTTTTTTAGATCCGTCGGTGAACCGAAAAAGGTAAAACTATTTTCGGTTTTTGGGAGAGACAGGCGGGGGAGGGATAAATGAGAGATATTTCCTTGAAATTTGGGGCTTATGCAACCACATAACCCGCATTAAAACAGGTGGACTCTCTCCACAACAAAATTCAAATGACAAAAAAAAAATATCCCTGCAGGGAGAATTTGGTTACGGAAAACCCCCGTAACATGGGTAGAGAATCCGATGCTGGGAGCAAAAATAAATTCCTTATATATACAGAGAAAAAAGTTATAAGCAGATAATAGGCAGAATATTTGTGGACTTTCTCTACAAAGAAATTTTAAGGTACAAGAGAAAATTTGTTGTGGAGAGGATTTCATCACAGAAAACCCGTTTTTCACCGGGTAGAGAACCCTATGTACCTAATACTGTAGATCCGTGGAACTGTACCTAATAAGTACAGTATTTCGTGCCTTTACCAGCCCCAGGAATTGAACTTCACAAGCGGTATATAATTCAAGAGATAACGTTTTATCTTTTTTTCTCTTCAAGTCCTTATCCCATCAAATGAAATTGAACGGTGATGTATTGATACCTTCGATTTTCCCGTTGGTTATTATCTGATCGTTGATTAAATCATCAGGAGCGTGAATAAATAAAATGTTTTCGTCTTTTGGATTGTTCGAAAAACCTGGAGTTGTAACAATGTCTCATAAAAAATATTCCTGAGAATCCAGGCGTCGATGAAATACAGTACTGTATATTCATAGCAAATCCAAACAAGAAACGTCGTCCGGTGAACTTATTTTGTACTCTGTACTCTGTACAACCGATAAGTAAAACACCTCATTACACTGTGAATACCCCGACATGCGGACGATTTGATAATAATGAATGGCAACAGTTCTTTAATCTCAAAAAAAAAATCATCCCCGACAATATTTCATCATGATATGGATTCTTATCCAGAAATTCCAGAAAAATTATGATACATTATTTTTTGAAACTTTGATGTCTCCTAAAAAAAATTGAGCTTCTACCTTGGACAAAAAGCCAAAATAAATCTCATTTTGCAGGTATACGAATTGAAATTTATTTTCCAAAACAGGATAATTGTTGGCTTCTGCTTTCAGGATTTTTTTTTTACATTAACTGTGAAAATACAGTAATACATTTTTTTCGGACTCCTTTTCATGCTGAAAGGACCGATTCTGTGTGGTTTTCTTCTGCAGTATTTTTTTCTGTGTTTTGTGTTTTAAAGTTAATAAAATATTTTGGTTCAATTCTTCTTTCCGAATTTTTTTGTCAAACATGAGAAGTGATTGAAAATGTTCACACTAAAATCCATGGGAACATGCGATCCAACATGATGCGGACGTTCCCACTTATGAATTCTTAGTCTGAGAAGTATTGACGTCCGCATCTCGGGGCCACCCACTGTATTTATAACGCATTTACATTGTATTCCTGCCGCTATTTTTAGTCTTCATGCGTACGTAAGGGAAATATATCCTCGACAAGCTCTGATGAACTCTTCAGCACAGCTTTGTTGCGAGATATTCTTGTTTTTTATTCTATTTTTTCAAAACGACGCGTGTTATTTTTTCTTGCGTTATTCTTCTACGACTCTGGGTACAATTTTACGCGCGGAAAAAAGCTCCTTTTTTTGGAACATATCTGTTGTATGTGTATCCCAGAATACTCGCTCCGTTGAAAAGAATCATTTAGGATGAATCAGCCAACCCAGACACCTGCCAGTTCGTCCCGAACAACGCAAAAGAGCTCCAGCTATTTGTGACGAACAACAATCTTGCAAGAACACGAGTGGCTAGAAATAATTAGACCCCGTCGCTTCCCAGCACTTCAATAATCCCCTCACGCCGGCAGTCCAGGGTTTCTATTTTTCCACTATTTTTAATTTTTTTTTGGACAGGTTTTACGAGTACTTTCCTCTACGTTAATCTTTCCCAAGTGACGTCACGAAATAAAGGGGGCGAGAGATTTTCGAGGAAACGTGCCAAAATTTTAGCTCCCCCTCCCCCTCTCTTGACTGTTCGAATCATCAAGAGAGGTGTAGAAATTTTCCGACTACACCGTGTGAGAGTTTTGAGAATTTAAAAAAATACGTGCAATTCGCTTTGATCATAATTGAAGTGGAAATTTAGCGTGAGTAAAAAAAACCCTCAGTACATCGTTATCACGTTTTCTTACTGCCAAATTTCAATTTGCGAAACCGGAAAGACAGCGGAGAGAGCGGGATTTACCCCAACGAAAGAAAATCTTGCTTTCAAAGCTAGAAATAATTGAGATCTGTGTACGAAATTTAGACTTGTGATAGTACACAAACAGTTTTTTTTTTCCTTTCACTAAAGTCGACACAAAACTGTTACCGCAAATGAAAAGAAAATGGCATCTGGCAACGAAACATTTTGTCAAAATGCACGACAAAAAAAAGAAGAGAAAATACAGACATCATTCATATGCCGTGAGATATCACGAGGAAGAATGTCTAGTCAGATGATTCAAAAATGCATTAATTTTTTTTAAAGATGACGTAAGTTCCGTAATTTTTTTTCAATGATTATCTCAAACTATGCGCTTTCTAATTAAATCGGCAAGATCAGCACATATACTGGAAAAAATGACAAATGAGAGAAAGGTGCCAAGTGTCTGTTTTTTTAGAAGGTTGATGAGGGTTTCCACAGGGCCAGTCCCAGTTCTGCGCGACTTTGAGTGATTCGTAAGCAGCCAGCCGTAATTATCAGAGATTTTTTTCCTCATCATGTTTCACAATTACGCTCTCGAATTGTTTTTAAGAAAATGTTTGTTCCAGCTTTGAAAAGACAGAAATAGAATTTTGTCGGAGTAGAAGTTACTGTCCCAGTTCCACGCACCCCTGGCGCAAACATTTTTATCTCGCTCATCTACTTGAGTCTCCTCGGACTGGTTCTCTGATTAGTTATGGATTTTTTCCTAAAATTTGCGCGTCGGGATTTAAAAAAATAGAAAAAAAGATTATGGTATCGTCCCAGTTCCACGCACCCTTGGCACAAATAAATATACAGTATATATATATATACAGTATATCAAAGGATTTCTCTTTATTTCATCATAAGTACTTGAATTATTTGTTTTAGAAGCATTTTAAGTATGTTTTCCCCATTTCCGATAAAATACAAGTCTGAAATGTGCCAAAAATCATTAATCTCAATACTGTATAACGAATTTTTCGTTATAACGAATTTTTTCTTGGGTCCCTGGGAGTTCGTTGCAACGAGATTTTACTGTACACAGTATCTATAAATTTATTTTTTTAATCGCTATTCCTGATTCTCCTGGGTTCTCCTCGCCGAGTACAGTCATTATGGAGTTGTTAATAAACCCACTGCCAGCAACAACAAAATAAATTCCGCCATGAAGACTTTCTCATGCATATTGCAAATTATAAATTTTTTCCGAAGAGCGAGTTTTCGGACAAACCCATGATGGCAGTTATTCAAATTCCAAAACGATAAAATAAAAATAAATAAATTTGAGCAAAATGGTAAACTCAACCGTCGCGATGATCCATCGCCAGCCAGTCACGTTGCCTGCATGGAATAAGCGAGGGAATGAGAACACGCGGCATCCTCGCAACCAGGGAACCCGCTTGCTGGGTGCTGCACGTGCCCTGGCAAATGCGACCTTTGAGAACCAGGCCACTTGCAAGGGTTTCATAAAAAGAGGGGGGGGGGGGGCACTCAGAAGCATCGCCAAAACAGGATGCTTTCACTATTCCGAGGCAAATCCACCCTTGGGAGGATTGCTGAACTCTCGGGGATTTGATTTCTCTCGGGACAAGACCGAGGGTATTATTTTTTCTTGAGAATTTTTGCTTATTTCTAGAGGGGTAAGATTTCCATTTTTGATTTCTAGAGGTGTAAAAAAAGAAAAAAAAGGTCGTTCCGTATTCGTGCCCTCAGAAAATTAGTAAGAGATGAAACTTTGAAGAATTTCGACTCGGTTGTTTTGGAGAAAAGTCATCACGAAAAATCATTAGGTCTGCAGCAAAATTGACCTATAAAACTCCTTCAATAAATCAAGATAGACAAAATCTGAAAAACCCTAGGACTCGTATAAACTGAGAAGCAATGGTCCAGAAAAAATAGTTTATGTATTCGATGATACCGTACAGATATTCGAAACGTCATTAAATAACCGACATCCGTCATAATGAGGAAAAATGGTTTTTAAAAAATATGCAGAAAATTGTCAAGCTTATCTGTTCTCTCGAACAAAATAAGTTGTTTTGAAAGATGAATTCAGCAAAGAGGAAGACTATTTAGGAAATCCAGTCTTGCTCATTTGAAAATTACTTCAAGTTGAAAAGTATCTTCACTTTCATAAATCAAATCCGGCTGCGCTTGAACTGTGGCTATTATTTTTTTAAATTAAAAAAAAAATCATGAAGACCTTCATTAATCATCACTGAATCAACTGGTCATCTAATTGTACCGACAACCACGTCAGAATAATTACTAATTCGGGAGAAATTCATGGTATGCTGTATCTCTGCTGCCATATAATATGTGGAATTTCAAGCGAGCATTTCGAAGGAAAAGGCGAGAAGTGCAGAACATTACATGAATGAGCAAATAAAGGACCTTCCAAATTTGCCAAGTCGTATACACACGAATCGAAGTTCGAAAGTCGGGAAAGTTAAGCAAACCACTCGCACGTGGGACGATAAAATTCGACACGCGTTTCTCGCCCCGCCAGTACCGAAATATTCCGCTTTTCAAATAATGCGCTCATCATTCCTATACGAACTCGAGCCACGTGTTGGCGATTAAGGCGAGACTGAGACTACAAGAACAGAAACGGTTTTAGAAAATGAGTATTAAAAAAAATCACGAAGAGCGAGAACTTCTACATTATCTACAACTTAAAAGTCACTACGTCAGGCCATCTCATATTCCCTATCGCGGAGATCTTGGCGAACTGTCCCCTTGACGATTGTGTGCGATATTCTGTGCGTTTGATTATTATTATTATTTTCAAGTGCGAAGAAAACAAATACTCACCACATTTTTATTTATTTATTTTTGGGATTGAGGGGATGTCAAACTTGACGCGCGACTGCGAAGAAAACCGATCAGCACGTGTCACATTTTAACTCCGGCCCTGTCATTAGTATCTTGTCATCAAGTGGAATGGAAAAGAAACAATTCGCAGTACTTTATTTTTTAATGTAAGCAAAAATACGAGGGACTGTAGAAAAGTTTTGCGAGGAACCTTGAGTGTTGACATTTTTCTAGAGTCCAAATTTCAGCTCCGGACTTTTCGTAATAATGCGCACATGAGATTATTCGCACGAATTGAAGCAAATGTCCGTTCATTTCTGCTGAGAATTTTAAAATTTTAATTAGACCCATGATGTGTGTTTGGCTTCTAACTCGTGCAATTGATAATCAAGCACGCAAATCTCAAATTCAGCATCACTCACGCCAAGGTTACTACGTATTTTCAGATGGCTTCTTTCAATGAAAAGTATCGTCAGATCTGGGTAATTTTCAGTATTTATTTTAAAATCTCGAAGTTCTTCGTCGTTGTGAATGCATTGGAATAAATGAGTCCCCTCTGCCTTTTCATCATCATCAATTTAATTTTAACTTAATGACCTGCGCATTTATTTGACGGACGTAATAAAGCCCCGTGTTAATGGCTGTATAAGGTAGTTAGGTTCATTTAACTAATTTAAAAGGGGTTACTGTCCTCGAAACCGTTAAGTAAACAGACGAACCTCTAACGAAGACTGTAGAATCTTGAAGGTTCATTTCATTATGAGCAGGTAGAATAAAATTCGAATTGAATTAGTCTTATTAATGCGCCAATTTTGTTTCTGCTTTTCACGACGTCGTTGGAGTAGAATTCCTGATGGTGATTCTTGCTCACAAAAATCTCTGACCATTATTTTTCGTGCATTTTTCTTTTGAGTTTTTGAGGGATATATTTTTCGTTAAAAGGCAATTTATAAACTAAACTACTGAAGTATATATCAGTTATATAGTTTAGCTTATAAATTGCCTTTCAACGAAATACCTATGTTTTATTTTTATCTCGTTCTTTCGTGTTTGCTATTCATTCTTCTTGTTCGTTTCCCGAACTTACATTTCAATGGGGATGCGCAGGATTCGGAACAGTGATCAGAAGATTATTAATTTTCAATGTTGCGTTAGTCCACTTATTGAATCCGTCGAACAGAAGAAGCACACCGAAAGGACAATATTTATGAAATAGCCCGAGTATATTCAATATGGAAAAGTACTGGGTTGAAAAAAAAAAAGAAAAAAAAAGCTGGACACTTGTTCGACGGAATTGGCACCAGGATACGCGATGAAGGAAGAGAATTCTTTTTGCTTTGCCCTAATGGCGTTTCTGGATGATTTTTCCCATGGGTGGAGCCATTTGCTGATTCCGGTGCCGATTTTCATACAAGAACAAGACTGACGCGTCAGCAGCTTATTATTCTTGACTGATGAGACAGGAAATGAAGAAATATGAGCGCGTTAATCACGTCGACGATCGGCACTTCGCACCTTTCCAAAGGTACCATAATTTATGCCGCTTTTCAATTAGTTCGTGTCGTGAAGTAGATTTTTGCGAGCTCTTTCTGACACCGTTTTTGTTAAATTCTTGTTGTTCTTGCAAAAATGATACGATAATCTGCAGTGTTTTGCCGTTTTTAAGATTATCTCTTAAGCGTCGGCATTTTCGCGGATTTAAGCAAGAGCGCTTATTGACAGTAAACATATCTTCTTTTTTTTTGGGCTTAGAATTCGATTTGACGCTTACCGGCATTAAAAAATATATTATTCTCACTTCAATGTCAGCATTTTGAATGCATAAATGTGAAGATATTCTATAGGATATAAATAAATTTAATAAGCCATGAATGATTCAAGCGTGCGTCTTTGAATGGCAGAAACTCCGAAAAATTTAATATTTCTGATTGCCTTTGGGCGATACCAAAAAATGCAGGAAAAACATCGGATTTACGAACTTTTAGAACTGATGAATAATTTCAATTTATGCATTGAAAAAGTAATTTCTATAATAATTTACGCTTCTCTATTTCTAGAGACCCATTCCCTCCCGTCCAATAAAATTATGCGTGAATCGGGAAATTTTCATCTTGCGCAAAAAAAAATTTTTTTGCGGTATTTATACTCCGCCGTTCGTTGAATACGCATTTCCCTCGATAAATTATATACACAGTACGTCAATGTCCTTGTTCAATCACGCGAGTCTTCGCAGCGGGTTCCCGAAATACCCCATCCTGATGAAAATGTCAGCACAACTTTACCTTCTTATAAAGCCTCCGTCAAAACAAAGGTAGCGAAAATGCGTCGCAAATCTGGCACATTTTCAGCAAATTCAAATCAGTCGAGTGCGATGTTTTCGCCAACCAGCAATCCACGCGCGTCGCGTCTGGATTTACAAGTATGTCCTCAATCCCTTATTTAAGCTACTGAAGGATTCAAAACCAATGAGCAAAAATAAAACAATGGAAATTAAGATGGGGAGCACCGTGATTTAAATACACACGCTGCATTTAAATTTCTTCCAAAAAAAAAGTTCGGTTCAATAAAAAGAACACTAACGTGTCAGGTCATAATACGCAACCTAAAAAAAATTTATAGATTATGACATTAGCCAACTAGACTCACTGTCAAGCGTTGCCCACAAGAAGCGAGAAATACACAATCATGAACATGACAGCTCATAAATGAGACCAGTGTCTATATTGACAGCAAAAATGCATCGAAAGCGTGACACATAATCACAATGCGATCATGCAGACGAGAACCCACTTTATCCGAAGCAAATGCATGTGCGACATGAACGAATTGTGCTAAACTATTCTTTTTTTTATTGTTCGGGTACTGACAGATTTAAAAAAAATGGAGATGAATACATGCGTCGAAAGAAACAGAGGGATTAATCAAAGAAAAATACTGATTTTTCCCTTCAAATTTTTGTTTTGGTTTGTGCATGCAAGTGTTTGAAACGTGTCACAAAAAAATTTAGTTGTATTCTGCTGCATTTTATTACATTCTAATAAGGCCCGGTTCGCGTTCGTCAGAATTTTCTTTTTTTTTTCTTGTACAAGTATACCCCAGCGATTGCGATTGTGCAAGAATTTAAATGTGCACCATCAATTGCGATATTGATTGTGCTAAAAATTTGCAAACAAATAGCGTTTTCGATTGTGCAATTAAAAATTTGATTACGATTAATAACCCTTATACCTGTGCTGCGGAATGGGAATAAATATGGCGAATAAAATTAGACGAAAATAAAGAAGCGATGGGATGTATTACTTGAAGGTACTGCGTGTATTTTTTCATTTATTTATATTTGTGTGTCGTCTGGTTATTAATTTCGCGAGTGCTTGAATGTGTGGGTGATTTTTATTTATTTTTGGCGATCCCTCATCTGGTTCCGGGGGGGCCACGCGGCACGAGCACGTGGCCCGGCACATGCAGCCCGGGAATCGATGCCCGACGGTGGGGTTCCCACTTCTTTCCGTCGATCCTCAGACGGGTACGATCCCAGAACCCCCCCGTCGAAGACTGGAACCCGACGCAGTACAGTACTGTACTGTACTCACGGCCCTCTCCACAGCACTCCGTTCAATTATTGTGATTTTCGTCTGCTTGTGTGGTGTATATATACCCTTGCGTGGTACCGTTCACCCCCCCCCGCCTTGGGTTCGATATGCAGTATTTTATTACTTCGGAATGCCCATGAGGACTTTGGATATCGAAGATCGGGTCTCGCCACGGGTAATTCGAAACTGGGGTCGGGTATGGTGGAAAGAAAACTATTCGTCAACAAGTACAATTCCAGCCAGATAATCAACGAAGGAATATTGGATAGACGGGTTTCACTTAAATGTCTAACACGAAAATATAACCCGTCAATCTGCTCGAGAAAAATATGAAAATAACTCAAATCCAAGTCCACGAAATAAAAATGAATTTCTGCTTCGCCACGAAATTATCTATAAAGGAACACACTTTCCAAGTTGAATGCACAGAAGTAGCTTCAAATCGCGTTAAAAAAACACAAGAATGCTCAGAATTATGGCCCAGTTTTATGATGGAAAGTAAATAAATACATTTTTGAGCCAGTTGTAGCCCGATTTACGCAAGATCGGATTAGGATTTGATTCCTTCGGTTCAATATTGCTTCGTTCATTTCTCTAGCTGTCGATTGCTGTTCAGCAAATGCTGACTTGCTCAGCAAAGTTAACAAAATCGACGCATAAAAAACTCATAAAAACACTGACACAGCAAATAAGATAGTGATTATTTCCTATGCCTTATTAGTTGGAAAAATACTACTTTTAACTTAAACAAGGCACTGTCGTAAATTTGAGTATTCATTTCCAGATTTTGAGTTTACAGCACAAACGCATTCTTTTATTAATGGATGGAGAAGAGTGTGGATTGATGATCAAATCGGAAATTTAATCATTAGTTGGAAACTAGGTTTCAATTTGTGTGGTTTCAAATTAATTACCGCAATGACGTCACGAAGTGTTTTTCGAGGATTCATCCTTTCTCGGAAGCTCAAAATTATAAAAAATAAAACTATATGCTGCACTCCACACCTTTTAGACATATTTTGATGCTAAAAACCTAATGATCAATCAAATATTCAAAGCTTTGCGTCGTCTTCTGTCAAGGAAAACAAGGCTTTCTTGTTAATTCAGACGGGCTTCCACCTCATATATGAGACTATAGTGAAGCTTTACGAAAAAAAGTTGCTGACGAATGATTTGACGAAACATAAAAGACTTGACCACACGAACTGATGAATACGGGTGTAGTTTATACTTGTTATTTAATATTTTTATATTTTTTCCTATTATAAAGTTGAGGGTGTGGTCCCTCTTAATACCCATGTCTTTCGCGCTTTTGTGCCCAGCCCAGCAAGCCAGTTGTCAGGAGCAAACAAGGCGAAGAATAAATATTGACCCAAGCTATCGACCTGGAGAACAGAAGATAGTTTCGAGGTGTTACGTTGCAGACGCTTTTTATTTGCATTTTCATTTGTCTTTGGTTTGATTAGGCAATTAGGAGGCCCCTTTATGACTGACGATGCATGAAGAAGCCCAATAAGAACGTGATCTGAAATATGACCTGAAATGCGCATTATTCACATACACTGATAATATATACTAAATTAATAATGATAACTCGCTACGAGGACTCGAGATAAAAAAAATTTTGAAAATTTGGTTCAACTGGGATTCCTTCTCATGTTTTTCGAAATATAAAACCAAGTACCGTATTCAAAAATGTCCGCCTAAAAATTAAATACTCCATACTCCTCTGAAATACTGTATTATATAGAGAAAATAGGTCTTTCCTTTACTTGAAGCAAGAATACCTGCCGAATAAAGCTACCCATAATAATGTCTCACAATCTTTCGATTTCTTTCTGAAATATTCTTTTGAAACTGATCTACATGGAAGAAGTAATGTCAGAATTTTCATGTACTACCTACCTGTAAAATATTCATACTTATAAATATAGGATTAAGGTTTTACAGGAACGAGAAAGTATTATTAATTTTCGAGAAGGAAATGTGATTCGGAGCAGAATTTTGTTTTGCCGTTAGGTAACATGTCATTTTGTGGACACTATCATATATTTTTTTAACATTAAGTCATGCCGCCGGCCATTTGAATCATCCAGTTTAAATCCCGAAAAAAATAGTGCAACGCGTTCTTCAAGGGTTCTCAGTCTGATGAGATATAAAAAAATGAATACTGTAAATAAATCGTACACGTTATTGTGATTCACAGCCGAGGTCGTGAGGTACACGCAAGCAACGTATCAATCCCCGGGTAATTACTCGGTGCGTCGGGTCATAAATTAACTGCGCGCGAAAGATAAACTGAAGACGGTACCAATACATACATGTAAATGGATAAGTGATATTCCTCTTGCTTCTGACAGTGAGGCAAATGCGAATTGAGTATTATGGTATTTTTTAATGCTTAAGTCACGGGTTGAGGTAATAAATTCGAACGTCGCAATTTCGCTTTTATTGCGTATTCTTGAAATTGGCAGATCCCATAATAAAATAAAAACGCACATATTTCTTAATTCTCTTTTTTATTAGAAAGTTCGAACGCTATTATAAACGTCGAAAGGCACGAAATCAAGTAGTATTTGGAGCATACACCTTGTTTTTTGTCGAAATGAACGAGTTAATTTATTAAATATCTTTCAAGACAGAACGATAATGAAACCCAAGGTTTTCCGGAAATAATAAGCAAATAAAAATTAATTACATAGTGATGGCGGAAACATCATGCGTGGTGTGATGATGAAATGGTTTACTAACTGTACTCATACAATGATGATCAGCATAAAATAACCTGTAATTTGAGATTTAAAACTAAAAAAAATGTCTGTACAAGAAGTTATTCGTAAATGCATCCACGACTTTCTAGGCATCATAACTCCGTATTTTAAATAATATGCAACATTTTTTTTCTTACAGTACAGGATATTTAACCAAGCATTCATTTTTTCGCGTATCCATTGCAGAATGTTCAAAGCACGAGAAGATAATCGAAATTCATGAAAATAAATTCGCTTGTCATGAACATTGAAGTTTAATTTTACAAAGAGCATCCTGGAAACTTTCAGAATAATCCACGCAGTAAAGGTGCCAAGAATGTTCCAGAAAATGATGCACAAAAATGTTTAAATTATTTCGTCGTAATACACAAATATATTCTCCACAACACAACTTCAAACCAAAACGAAAGCAGTGCCAAAAAGTGAATAGTTTTTGTCAATAACTGTTGTTTCATGATGATGCACCTGCATAAATTGTACAGTACTTCAGTCGGTGCATTAATATTAAATTCTTGGTACGGAAATGTTATTGCATTGCAGAAATAACAGTGGACAGAAGACACACATGAGATTTTTTTCGCTGTTGTCCGAAAGAGCAACAGGTAGACGGTCAATATATCCTCGCGATGACCGGACGACAAAAGAAATTATTCCATCGTTGTAAGAAGAATATTACTCTACAGGGAATTGTTTTCGAATCCGTCTTTTACGCCAGTGGTTAATCATGCAACTGTGACAAGTTCTTCGTCTGGATGAGGATCAAAGACGGTCTGTCAATGCAATAACAACTAATCATTGCAACAGGAGTACAGTAGTAGCTTTTCAGTACAGCATACTGGCTTTGAAAATACAGTGAGACCCCAAGATGTAGACATAATTGGTGCATCAAGAGTGTCCCTAAGTCAAAATGTCCCTAAGTTGAGTCTCATGTTCCCTTAGATTTACATCATATAATTTTTAATTGGTTCCTCTGTACAGTACATAGAAATGTTGGCATTCTCTGTAAAAATAATATTCAAGTGAAAAAGAGAGAATGAAGTCCCTCTCTATGCTGGAGGTCAATTTTTTAATGGGCTAAATGGATGGTAAATTGGTGTGAGAAATGCCCAAGAACTTTTCTTAAATCAATTTTAGGATTGGACATATCTGTTTCTTGTAATTTGCACTGTAACTTATTTGCAATTTTATCACAAAATGTCCCTATGTTGAGTCAATGTCCTCATGTCAGGCCTTTTTAAATTAATTTTTTCAATGAGAAAATAAGTGTCCCTTTGTCAAATTGTCTGCAGGTCAAGGTGTCTGCATGTGGGGGGGTCTCACTGTACTGTGAATCCCTTGTATGGAGAATATCACCCAGGAGGGAATTGTTGTCGTGTCGCGTCCGCTTGATGCGTGTGGTTACGTAAGAGCGACAAGGTCAGAGTTCGTCTGCTGCTGGAGGAGCCGAGCCCAGACGGTGTATCTATCCACGCAACGACCCGACGCCGCCGGGTCCGGGACACGCCTGACGGACGAGAAGGGTGCAGGGAGCAGTGAGTCGCACCCGGCCGGCCACGTGACTTCGCCTGTCCTCGCCCGATAAAATACCGTAACCAGAACCCGGGGTTTCTTTCTTTCCCACGCACACACACACACACACATATACAGCAGGTTGTCGCGATGAGAGCCGGTATACCCGCATTGGTTGCCCCACTAAAAGTATTGTACGTCTTATCCGTCGCCGGTTCTGATCAAAAGTCCTTGAACATGCCATGATACCCCGGATAGCGGACGCTTTGCATAACGGATTTTCTTCGTATTCTACGCGATAGTTTTTTTGCTGCTGCGATTTAAAGTTGAAAATGTATTCATTCGTCAATTTTAGAAATTATTCTTTATTTAGGGAAAAATCACAAATAATCGGCAGTGTATTTTTCATACCTTTTCAAGGGCATTTTCCGCAATTTTCTTCAACAAAACACTCTGTTATGCTTATTCTACGAGGGCACACAAAATACTTGGAATAACTTTGGTAAGCCCTCCGTAAAAACAAGGCCTTGAAAATTCGTCGTTAATTTAATTTATCTTTTGACATACCACTGAATTTAAAAATGATGAACAATCTCCAAATTCTCCCCTAAATATTTTATTTCGTGAGTAATTAATGTGTAAAATTCTCATCGTTAACCATGCGGAATAAACAACACTTCTTGCCTTCAAAACTTTAGAAATTAAGTTCTTAACTTGATGAAAAAAAAATGTTTGTGCTCCTTACAAGGGTTACCTCACAATAGGGTAATGAGCCTCGGTATATGTTTTGAAAAGAAAGTGACAAAATATAGTGACAGACAAAATTTCCAGTCATCTTTTCTGTCCAGAAAATGTTTTGAGCGATATATTTTAAAAATCGGGGTTTTTCTGGAATTGGCAGAAAAAGAGAAACGATGAATAAGTTTGGAAATCTTGTCGACACCGGAATTCTCTCTATGACAAATTAAAAAAAAAACTAAGATCATGATCGGGGTTTTTTTCAGGTCTCCGTTCGCAAGATTAAAAAAAATTATCAAGTTTGTTTGAAATTATGGGGCAAAGAAAAAAAGAAGCAGCCAAATGTGCAAACGTCGGTGTCGCGATCAGAATAAGGCTCGCAAGTGTTTACGTCATGCCCTGTCCTTCGGTCGTCGCGGAAAAAAAAAAACGAGTCCGCCAGGAAAAACAAACCCGAAGTTTCCCACAGGAGTCCCAGAAGAACCAGGGCGTCGACGACAGCGACAGTGACAGCGACAGCGACAGCGACGCGCTACCAAGGGAAAACAAGGGATGAAACGATCCCAACAAGGCCCTTAATCTTAATCCATGCTACTGCATTGGGCGTAGAAGCCCGTGGCGTTTTATGCATAATCCATTCCGTGCCGAGGAATTGAAAATCAGAATACCTCTAGTTTTTTTTTCTTAATTTTGCCTCAGACTTGAATCAATTAATTCTTTGGGTTTTGTTTGCTGCTTGTGTTTTGACAGGGAAACAATGCACCAATCGGGAAGGTTGCCGGAGAATATTTTTTCTCTCCTTTTCTTGTCTGGCATTGTCCGATTTTTTCTCTTTCCTGCAGCCCTATTTCTTCATGGAACATGTTTACTAAGTTTAGCACAAAATCTTTGCAAATGCCGATAAGTTTATGCAGATCGGGAATTATCCTTGCAAATTCATTTCCCCCAGTTTTATTTCTACGTATTTTTTAATTACGCGAGAACAGCAAACGTTTTTTAAAGAAATACTGTGCAGTATATCCATTTTAAAATTAATATGGTAATAATCTAAATAAATTGTATCACTTGAATCCCTGCAACAAGCATGAAAATGTTTAAATATTATTTATGGAAAACTAGTCTTAATTTATGATGTTCCTTTTGGATTTGAATACAGTATGAAATAGAAAAAGCGTTAATAAATTGCGGAAGACTTGAAAAACATCGACCAAATTTTGTAAATCGATAAAACATTGGGACAATTTGTGCAATGCAGAAAGACTATATTTTTCTTTGTGTACTTTAACAAAAAGGTACTAAAGGAGAAACTGCGCTATACAGAAAATATTGTAGCAAAAGAGCTGATTACACATTTAAAGAAGGTTAAAGACGAAGCTCCAGATGAAGGTGAAAAAGAGTTCAGGATTGATTCTTAAGCCTTAATTTAAAGATTTTGACACTTTAAATGGTAAATTTAGACTGAACTGAATTCATTGATAAATCAACCTAGGAGAAAGCATTGTAATGCGTTCGTTTTCAAGAATTCATAGAATTTTAATCAAGCGAAATTTTGCTGACAGAGACGATAACACCGAGCCGGTATATCTCCGAAAAAAAAAGAATTTTGCTGCTGCACAGCCAATTTCTTTAGCGAATTGAAAATTGAAAAATAAGTCTCTGGGAGGTTTTCTTTTTCCTCTTTTAAATTTAATTTTCAAATACAGTATTCGTTCTTTTTTTTTTTTTTTTGATCGAGCGAAGATGAGCCAAGGTCTTTCATCAATCGCCTCTCACGTTATTCCTCCGACGATAACCGGAGAATAATGCTTTCCGAGTTAATTGCCTGTCTCGGCCCAGGGCCTCATTATCCCGGACGCCGTTTGTTGAACTTGACGGCTTCCGGCGGTTTGGCAAATGCAACGGCCGTCCGTCAGCGACATGGCAGCTTCGCGTGCCAAAAGATATTCAGCAAAATATTTTTCGTTTGCTTCACCGCTGTCTATTTTCTACATTTTTTTTTTCAAGCGAACAACCTGGCCGAGTAATGAAGCCTGGAGTTAATCGGGGTGTCTTGCAAGGGCGTGGGTGTGAAGAAGAAACGAGATGAGCTGGCTGTTGCGGCAATGAAAGTTTGTCGCTTTTTTGTTTTTTGTTTTTGGGTGGAATTCAATGGGGGAAAAGGGGGTCGTTGAGCTTTTGTACTCTCTATATATGAGAAGAGATATCGAATTCCTTTGCTTTTTTTTATTTATTTGAGGGACACACTTTCAACATCGCAAAGGTTTTTCAGGTCTCTGCTGTCCGGAAATTCCAGTGTCTTTTGTGACACAGCTTTCAAGAGACATTCCTCACGCACCCGAAATAGCCACCTTGATTTTACTTGTAAATCTCTTAGGAAACGACTAGCTTGTTTTTTGAAAAGCCATTAAGATTTTTTAGATAACGTCTCCGCGGCAACAACAAAAAACTTTGGCCAAAGGAGAGCTGAAGATCTGATTCTTTTTTTTTTAAATCTAAACTAATCTAGACGAGCCTCTCGTTTTTCACCTGTATTTTTTTAACGAATTTTTCGGAAGTTTTTGAAAAATTGCTGAAATTTGTTTTTTTTAAATAACCACAAGTTACATATGTGAAATTCGGAAAGTTCCAGTTACGTGCTTTTCAAAATTAAGAATCTCTCTGTACTTCGAAACTAAGGTCCAACATATTGTATATTCATTGTTCCTTTTTACAGGTGGACTCTCTCTACGACGAAAATCAGAGGGGACCAGAAAATTCGTTCCCGAGAATCCCTTAAAAATCGATATACAGAGAAAATCGTTATTGCAGAGAAAGTCCTCCTGTATTAAAGAGAAAAATCATTGTACGAAATTCAGGGGACCAGAAAAAAATCGTTGTAGAGAAAAAGAGAATTCCTAAAAAAAATCGCTGAACGGAAAGAATTTTTGTACAGAGAATTCACACAGTATTGCAGAGAAAATGCTTTACAAGATCCAAGGAAACAGAAATATTCGTTGTATAGAAAATGCCTTAAAAAAATTCTTGTCCAGAGAAAATCGTTGTAGATAGTCCACCTGTAGTGTACAGAGAAAATTTTTGCACGAAATTCAAGGAACCAGAAAAATTCGTCACAGAGAATCCGGTTAAAAATCTTTGTATGCAAATAGAAACTCGTTGTAGAGAGAATCCGCCTGACATAGAAAATGTTGTACAAGATTAAGGGGTCCAGAAAAATTCGGTGTAGAGAATCCCTTTTAAAAATATTTTATTAAATCCTTATGCAAAAAAAAATATGTGTACAGCGCGTCCACTGTAACTTTTACGCATGAATCAGACATAAATTTAAATTAGCAGCACTACGGAATGCTCCGTCAATTCAACCTATGCATACTTTTTTTTTTCAAAAATGGTTTCCACTATACTGTACTCAGGAATGCGTTCAACGAGCAATATTTTTCTGGAAGGTGTTTCATATGGAACTACAAGCGAATCATGGGTAAGCTTCATTGCTTATGGTTCGGAAAATTCATGCAAAAAACGAGCTAAAAGCTAAAATAAAAAAAATATCAGTTGAACACATTAAACTCGATGCAGCCTTGCGATACAATTTCCAGTTTAATTGCTCCAGAGTTTAAATCTCGATTGATGTTGACACTTTTATAGAGGATATTACGCATTCTACTTTCTGTAAACAGAAAGTAGTAAATGGTTTTTGAAATGTCCCCGGAAAAAAAGAAAAGAAAGAGAAATCTCACCCGATCCCTGCTTGAGTCGGCGACTGGTCCCTCCAAACGTAATTGTTCCCGGACGAAGAGAGCATCGACGTCATGGACGCCATGTCCTTAAGAGCAAAGTCGGGCCTCGACGACGTCGACCATAATACAGCCGATTCCAAGCGCTCCGACGGCAATCCGTGTGACACTGGCTCCGTGATTGAACCACTCTAAAAATCCTGGCGTCCTTCTCCTGCTTCTTCTTCTTCTTCTTTTTTTTTTTTTTACTTCTTCAGATGCAGTTCCGAACTTTAGTCTGGCCCTTTGAATTTCTTTCAAATTTCTCGGGGTCTCACTTCGACTTTTTCGTCACGTCACTTTTCTTCGAATGTTTTTTTTTCAACAACTCAGGAATACGTTCCTTGAGCAATCGTCCCTGGGAATAAGTTTTATTTTATTATTTCGAAAATCATGGAAAAGCCGTCATGTTTTTGTAACGCAACTTTATTACGACAGCAACTGCAAAAAAATCGAACCAATCGTTTTCCCTGGAATATAACTTTCTCGAAAAATGGAAAACTGAAATTCAAAGGTTTTCGTGCGTGACAACGTCAGATTTGCAAGTACAGTAATAATTGCATGCATATTTAAACCAATGAATGGAATATAGTATAAATAAAATCGAATTTCCAGTAAACGTTCTCTTGAAATGTCCACAATACTCAGGACTTCGTTCAACGAGCAATATTTTTCAGGAAGGTGTTTCATGGAACTACACGCGAATCATGGGTAAGCTTCATTGCTTATGGTTCGAAAAGTTCATGTAAAAAACGAGCTAAAATCTAAAATAAAATTTTAAAAATAAGTTGAACACATGAAACTTGATGCGGCACTGCGATACGATTTTCAGTTTAATTGCTCCAGAGTTTAAATCTTGATTGATGTTGACAGTGTTATAGAGAATATTATGCAAAGATTGAACGGAATAAGCGGATATCTTTTGCTGCTTGAAAAACTAATACGACAATGCGACTCAAATCCGCTGGAAAACTTATTTTAAAAGTAGATGCAAACAGTAGGTATCACTTTTACAATCGGTACAACTACTATTCTATTCGATGAAGGATTTGCAAATAATGAAAGATTGCCAACAAATGCGTCGATGATACCATGCTCCCTGTCGCCAAATTTTTGTGTGTGCTCAGAATCATGAGAGGCATCAATTTAAATATTTTCTGCACTGCTCTTCCCGGTTACGCTATGCAAATTTCTCTCCAAAGCTTGCTCTGCAATGGGTGCGGCAACAAAGATCAAGGCGAAATGAATCTAGGTCAGCCAAATCTTTAAAAATATTGTGAAAGAAAGTTGCATTTCTCTTCGAAATTTATTTTGATGTTTTTGCATCAAGGACTAGCACATGTATCTTGCACATTGCTTGTTTCGGAACGCTGAAAATATATTCCGTCAAGAAATATTGAGTTATTCGTTTCCTCTTCCAATTCTTTGCAAAGTTCCATAACATTTTGCTGCTTTTATTCTAAAAAAAAGGAAATCGTGTTGACTTAATATCTTTATCTCCTTCGTTCTCAAAGAAAAAAGTTTTTTAGTACACTGATATATTTGTCAACCAAATAGCAACCTGCAGCTCCGAAGGTGGAACATCTTCTATTATGCAATCCGACGGATGATAAAATGAAGGCGCCTTCTTGCAGAGAGAAAAATCGAAAAACCTACGGTTAATCTTGGAGCTTTCTCATACAAAATTAATGCCAAGTTGGTTGTCAGCTTCTCTAAATTTATTTACCTCTATCATACATAGTCCATTTTTTTCACTGACCTTCGGTGTACCAAAAATATCTAATTTTCATTGCACTGCCCAGCATATACGAGTATACTAGAAGTACAGTACTTGAATAAAGTTTACTAATTGTTCTCTTTCCGAAGAGGTGGACTGGCTGAGACTTTGAATACATGGCTGTGAAAGGGATGTAAGTTGTCATAACGGCCAGCATGCACAATTCGTCTATGTCGAGGTTAGCTGCCATGCAAACATGTTTCCATAATTTTTCTTTATGGCTCTCAAGAATTATGAGAAGCCGAGCTACTCAGAAACTACACGTCTTGTTCCTGTACTTCGGTTTTGATTAGTACTAAAATACATCGCATTGTCTTAATTTGTAAAAAATAATTACGCAATATTGTACAATGCTCGTCCGAGAATAAAATGACAGAGAGATATATATACTGTATACTTCAGAAGATAAAGTATCCACAAAACCTCGAAAAATGCAAAACCTACCCGAGAAAGAAGCCCTAATCAATAAAAAATCATCTTTATCAAATTAATGTTTTAGCTCAATGCATCATTATTCGTGCAAAAGTTCGTGTTTTCAATCAAATCCAGTCCATCAACATAAGCATAGTCTTCGAAATTTTTGAAATTCAGAAATCTTATCTTCTTGCGAATCGCGCATTTCGCAATTAAGATAATTCCCCAAAACGGGTGAGGACTGATTAAAAAATTTAAAATTCTTCCCTTTCTTTGCTCCGGATCCCGGTAAAAATAAATAAAGGCGAATTGTTCAAGTATGAGAGGAAAAATGCGCGCATTTTATGAAAGTTGGTTTTTATTATTATAATTTCATTGACCCTCCTTGAAAGTTTGTTTTTTGGCTTCCTGCCTCAAAAAGATTCACATTTTCCAGTGGGTCATAAATTTTGAATAAACCATGAAATGTGCACTAATACTTTTAAAGATAATATACCATGAAAGTGCTTCGTCAATGTGCATTCTTGGCAACAAAAAGACTGATTTTCTGCATTTATTTTATGTTTTAAACGGCATGAATTAATCATCGTTGGCAGAAATTGTTGAGATCTTGTACCAGCCATAATTTTGGAAAACGTGAATAATTTTGTATCCAGGTTTAAATATAAATTTATTTATATATCTATATAATATATATTTTTAATCCTGGATATTAATTCTGAAAGAGCACGTCGCTCAAATTTTGAGTTTTCATTGAAGACTTCCGTTCAAGTGTTCAATCAATTCAACGGAAAATTAAGAGATTACTTTTTTTTAAATCGCGTTCGCCCGTCGGACATTGGACGTTAAATAATGCAGATGACCAGGAAAAATAAAACTCCATTCTGCAGTATCTACACTTAGCCCGTTGGTCCGTTTCTTATTTTAGAAAATCCTCTCGTCAGCGACCGCACAAAGTTTTTTTTTTCTTTTTTGAAAGCGGCGAGAACCCGCGGTTGGTTAGACGACAGTGGCCAGAACACACCCCGTTCGGTCGACACTGTTTCGCTTGTTGGCGCAAGAAGCGGGCCAAGGAGCACATGAAGGCTGCCAAACTCGGATTTCCACACAGCACCTCCATCTTCCTTTCTTTTTTGATTTTCTTTCTATTCTTTCATTTTTTTTTGGTACTGCTTAAACGCGTATTGTTGACGAAAAGTCTCGTTGGTAACCCTGTCGCGATCGTGGCCGACACACAAGTGCATTTCTTATTCCGAGTCTCGACTCTTGTTCACTCCGCCCCCGTTCTAAACTTTTTGACAAGGGGTTTTCCATAAGTCTCGCGAAACGTATACAAATCGCACGTGGACAGGCATCATTTTTCATCAACCCAGTGTTGGTTCAAAGAAAATCTCTTCCCGTCACGCCCAGAGGCTCATGAAAAACATTTCGCGAATCAGTCACGTCCTGGTGTGGAAAATTTGTTTGAACCATTTTTTAATATTTAAAAATCAATTTTCATGGAAATAAATTCAAATGAGGTCCTTCTTTTAAATAAAACAAAGTTCTGAACGAAAAAATACAATAACGAGGATAGAAGCCAATAAAATACAAAACAAATTGATTTTATTGAAATTTTTACAACTTTGGTAAATACAGTAAATACATAAAACAAATATTTTGGTTTGAAAAAGTTTGCAAATGCTTTAGAATATCATCCAGAAGCAGGAACTTCTTTTACAGATTGTTCTGTAGATGGTCTACAGTAAATATATTATTCTTTAGATTCATTAGAAATGTGATGTCATTTGAAAATACAATATCAGATTTGTTTAGTACAGAAAATCTTGAAATCGGAAATACAATATTTTTAGCAATTTTGGCTTTAAAATTTCAAAAGTTTACATGCACATTCAAGCCTGATTTTTCTTCCAAATTAAAAAAATATTAATATAGTATTTTCGTAGAAATCCCTAAAACAGTGCTTGATTTTGCGTCTCTGCTCCTTTAAATTCGTAATTTGATATTCTCCACGAATTATATTGAAAAAAGAAGGGGGGGGGGGCGCAAAAATTGATCAAGTTTCATTCGGATGCGATAAAAATTCTTGTTGACTCACAGAACTCCTGAGAAACCCCTCTCGTATTCCGGATTTTCTTTTAAAGTTCCCGCACGTTTGCAGACGCACGACTCAATGCTATTCTTGTTCTCTCTTTTTTTTTCTCTCCCCGCGACGGGTTTCTTGCATTTTTTCGTGCAAAATTTCCCGCGGGTCTGGATGCGTGCTTGTGCAAGGGTGCACCTGTTGGATTCCTGGCGAGACGGCGGGGTCGTGGTTGAGCTGCACTCGTTGGCATTATTCGCATGGAAGAAACAAATGGGTGCCCCGCAAAAAAAAAAAAAAAAAGTGTGCAAAAAAATGAAGGCTCAGGAAATGACGACGAAGAAACGGTAAAAAAAAGGGGATAGGGGGTAGATTATTTTGAAAGCCCGACTTTCCAAAGGAACAAAATGCTCATCTCACTTGTTTTCAACCTTCGCCCTGCTTCGCGGAATTCCAGGAACTACAAGTGAGTGTTTGACAAATTAGCATTTCTTAAGATTTAATAACGATTTCTTGCAGGCTGAGTCACTCATTCGTCTCGGAAATAATGTTGACAAGGTTATAATTCAAGTTTTACGCATTAATGTTCCGCACTGACAACACCAGTATAAAAAATGAATCGGCCGACTGAAGGATGAAGAAAATACACCATTTAATCGTGATCGTTTGAAAAATCTAGAAGCTTCCGAATAGGATCTTTCATTCACAAATATCCTCTCTTCTAATATTACCGCGAATGAACTTCGGAAAAAGAAAATACAATTATTCTGAAAACATTATCTAAATAAGAACTCTGGTCTTTGAGTGACACAGGAATGAAAATGTTGTTTCTGATTTGAGACGCTGAAACAAGTCAAATCGAAAAGTATTAAACTTGATCTAGCCTAAATTTACTTGAGGCTCAACTGAAGGATTGTTTTCATTTTCGAAAATTCGATTTCCTCACTTTGCATGTATTTTATTGTGAAGTTAAGCGAGACAGTAGGTATTTCCGAAATTCCACTTTTGAAAAGCAAGTTGACTGAGTTGCATGTCCTTTTTCAACACAGATGATTACGATGCCTGTTTACGAGTATATTTCAACTTCTCAAAAAGTGTCATTTATGAAGGGGAATTTTAGGAAATTTCCCGAGAGAAAATCTGACAGACAATTATTTAGCATGAAAACCTCGGTATTGTCAGAATAATCAATGATCGTTTAATAAAATCTAAGAATTTAACGAAACTCTTCCGTTAGAAATTTAAAAAATATATACCTCGATGAGAAGTATTCCAACGAGAAGTGTTGAAAAACTGAAAAATCCATTACGATTCATAAATAATCGGCATATTCAATTTTTTTCTCGTTTTATAAAATGTCTAGCTAATTCTTGTTACAAATGCATTACACTTCGGAGATCCTTATCGCCACTTTGGAAGTTATTTTTTGTAATCTTTCTCAGATTTTCCGCCATGATTTATTTTTATGTCAGATTTTTATCTCAAGAGGAATTCCTTCCTATGTCAAAATAAGCAATGGAAATATCATTGAGAACATTCGTAGGATGTCCTCTCTGTTCCGCTCAAGGCATGAAATTCTCCTAAAAATAAAACTAACCAGACTTTCCTTTCCGAATTTATTTGCAAAAAGGGATGGCAAGCGACCCGTTGCAGAGAAAAAAGGAAGGATTCACATTCTGCAGAAAAAAAAGAAATCTTTTTAGAATCTATTGTTTAGAACCATGGAGATCTCGGTGAGATCGTGATCGCATCATTAGCGACGATGTGTCTGTCTACTTCTCCTTCCTAAAACCAAAACTAAAATCGCGTAGAACAAATGTTTTCAGTACCTTTTCAAGAGCAGGATTTCCGAGTACTTCTTATAAAAGCTCCGCAATCACACAGCCGCAAAATTTCTAGGTACAGTACAGTAAATAATGCGGAAAACCTTACGACGTGCGTTTTTTTCAAAAGGCAGGAGAGAGAAAATAAGAATAATAATCATTCGCCTTTTTGTTTCCCTTCCGGCTTGAATGACGGGTCGCATAACAAATCATTTTTTTTTCTCAGTTTGTGCAGAGAGAAAAGAAAAAAAACGTGAAACCAAGGAAAGATTTGTACCTTTCCTTTCGTTCCCCAGGTGCAAATATATCTGCCAACCGCCTCGGAGAACTGAAAACTAAGTCGGGAATCCACAGCGAACTCTCTTAGCACACAGTCGAGAGCAAGAGAAGGGACTCACGAGAAGGAAATGAAAAAATAACGACAGGAAATCAAGGAGGAATTTTCCTCCCTCGACACTGACGTCAGCAGTTGTCAACGGAGGTCGTGCGGCATAAAAGATCAAAATCCGACACGTCACGTGCAGGTTAGAACGTCGACATGCGTGGCGGGAAAAAAAAACGGATCCCATTTCCAGTAATGTTTTAAGGCTCAATTACGAATGCACTTCTCCATTATTTCTGAAAGAATAATTTTCGAGAACGACTCAAGGAATCCGCGTATATTGTTGGCAAGACATTATGTTGAAGATTACCACAGAAAATGTATCTGCAGCTGAACACTTGCAGTAGAATTTTTAAAGAAGTAATTTAACAATGCAGTACGACATAAAGTTTTTGTTGTTTTTGGTTATTGACACATTCAATGTTAAAATCCAATATACAGATGTACTGTACATATTTATACTTTGGAATCAATAAAACTTAGAAATATGAAACAAAGACGATGGAAATAAAAAAATATTTCTTGCTGATCCTAAAAACATGTAAAATATCATGAATTTATAAATTTATCTTTTTACTCTTTGGAAATTGATCTTGTAATTCAGCTATTACTTGAAAAAAATTCCAAAATTTGCGAAAATCGTTTTCTACCCAATGGAGATGCGCACCCCATTTCCGGAATATATTTCCGAAAAAAAAAAGCGGAATAAGGTACTCAAGAAAATTTAGTTTAATAAACGATCCCCTCAAAAACTTTTTAAAAAGCTTTATTAAGGAAATTACTTGTACTGTATATATGCATATAATGCGCGTAATAATCTCAATTAAACATGATTATTGAAATTTTATTAATGCTGCAGCATCAGTGAAGAATTTCAATAAAGTAAGGCCAGAAAAACATGGAAAAAATAAACTCGTCACAAAATGTCTTCTTATAAAAGTGTAGGGGGACGCTTCCGAATTTAGAATATTTTCATCTATTTTCTTAAGACAAAAACTGAAGTTTAAAAATAATCTTTTCAAGTTTTTTAAATTTATTTTTTATGGTATTTGCATTCACTTGCATTAATTTTTTATACGTTTTTTCTGGTTTTAGATTCTTTCGTATGGAGACTTTATTTTTTATCAGAGTTTTCAACACCACCGCAGTTCGCAGTCGGATGTCATGCATTCGTTGCCACAAAACCACAAAACAAAAATTGCTTCGAGTGTGAGCTAATAGACGGTACTTACGGATCCAGTCCTCAAAACTTCGCACGAATTTTCCGCTCCACTGAGGGTTGGCACTTGACAGATAAAAAAATATTACTTATAACTCAAATTACTCGGAAGCTTGATCGTATTCAAGTAAATTCACGAATTAATATAAATTTAATAAAATATAATATATGGCACATTTCAACACGAATCAAGCTCCGAAATGTCATTTAAGTATTATTAACTTTAAAAATGAAGAGCCTGGGAGCTTTTGTGGACCTTTTAAAAAATTTCATCCAGAAGACATGCATTCACCTTTTTCCGTCTTTTTTTTTTTTTTAGTTCCCGCCGAATTATTTTCCAAGTTCAGTTCAAACTTTCTTGATAAAACACAATTCTAAATTCCGTTGAGATTTCAAAAATTTACATTAATTTCAGAAAATACTCTCGCATTTGTTCAGCAGAGCTAATCACTGTGGTTCTCTTTTGAAATGCTGGGACAAAAGTAAAACTGAATGGTAATCTTCGAACACGTCATTGCAATGAACTGAAGAGAGCCTGGGACAATATCTTGTGATATTTGTCGGTGAAAATTTAAACTTGATTCAGAAGCTGGAAATAATCAAGTCGATAAAT